GATGCACCAAAATCCCACAATAATGTAACATGCAAGTTAAAAAGAGTTGAATTAGACTATTACAGAACGTACTCTTGACATTTCTTGGAAAAAAAAAGAGACTATTACAGAACGTTACCAAATGAATCGAGAATTCATTTAATTGTAAAATGAATTATCATGTAGAATTCATTCTCAAATTAAAATCCTATGTTTGGTATGTTATATTCAAATCTTTAGAAATAAAATGAAGTGTCATGTAGAATTCATTGTCAAAATGAATTTCTGTGTTTGGTATGTCATATGTGTTTTGAGGCTGAAATAAATGTTACAAAAGAACTGTTGGATTTGGTCAGAGTTGAGGAAATTTTCCTTAGACAGAAATCTAGAGAGCTGTGGTTAAAAGTGGGGGACACAAACTCAGGCTTCTTTCATCGATCTATGAGAACAAGGCTTAAAAGAAACATAATTACTTCTCTAAAAAATTCCCTGGGTCATACGGTCACTTCTATGGAAGAAATGTGCAGGGTGGCTGTAGATTTTTATATGCATTTGCTTGGGAGAGTTAACCCTCTTGTTGAGGAGGAGACAGTGGATTACTACAAAGGTTGCTCAGGTATACACTTGACTCTACACATGTATCTTCTCTCTGTGATCCTGTTACTGTTTCTGAAGTAAAGGATGTGATGTTTAGCTTCAGTGGAGATAAGAGCCCAGGACCTTATGGCTATAATGCAAGATTTTTCAAAGCTTCTTGGGGGGTCATTGGTGCTGAGATTACGTCTGCTATTCAGAGCTGCTTTGTGTCTGGGAAGATATCTAGAGAGGTAAATGCAACTATTCTTGCTCTGATCCCCAAGATCCAAAATCCAGATGAGATGAAATATTTTAGACCTATTTCATGCTGCAAAATAGTTTACAAAAGCATATCTAAAATAATTGCAAATAGATTTAGTGCTATTCTCCCCTTAGTTATTAGCAAGAATCAAACTGCATTTGTGAAGGGGGGTGATAGGAGAAAATATCCTCTTGGCTCATGAATTAGTGCACAAGTATTCTAGGAAAAATATCTCCACTAGGTCTGCCTTAAAGATTGATCTTATGAAGGCGTTTGATTTTGTGAATTGGAAAAAAAAAATTCATTGTGTTGGCAGCTATGGGTGTTCCTAGTAAGTTCGTTGATTGGATTCGGATGTGTGTCACTAGTCATATGTTGAGTATTGCTTTCAATGGGGGTTTAGTTGGTTACTTCCTGTCAACCAAGGCTTGAGGCAGGAGGGACCCGCTTTCTCCATATTTGTTTGCTGTAGCAATGGAGGTTTTCTCCTATCTACTTAATCTTGAAGCTGAAAAGGGGAGATTCCCTTACCATCCAATGTGTAAGAAAATAGGGCTGACACATCTATCTTTTTCTGATGACCTTTTGGTCTTTTCCGATAGATCAAACTATATTATTCAGAGTGTTCAGAGGGTTTTGAGTGGGTTTCACAAACTTTCTGGTCTCCAGTCTAATCCTAGTAAATGTGAGATATTCTTTGGAGGGTTGGAAAAGGAGGAAATGCAGGCTAGGGCTTGCAGATATGTGTATCAATTTGGTGGTCTCCCTGTGCGATATATGGGAGCGCCTCTAGTGGCTGGGAAGCTCTCAGTGAATGCTTGTAGACCTTTTATGGACTGAATTACAGCTAAAGTGCAGGGTTGGAAAGCCAAAGCTTTAAACTATGATGGCAGGGTTGAGCTTGTAGGCTCTGTTCTATATAGCATGTCTCAATATTGGATGAGTGTGTTCATGCTTCCAAAAATCGTTATTAGAGAGGTGGAAAGAATCTGTAGTTGCTTCCTCTGATCAGTAGGGTCTAGGCTTAAACTTAAGGCTAAAATGGCATTGAAGTATCTGACCTTTCCCAAAAAAGAGGGAGGTCTTGGCTTGAGGGACTTATTCACCTGGAACTATAACTGTGTTTTCAGACAAATTTGGGCAATAATATTGCAGCATGGCTCTTTGTGGGTAGCGTGGGTTCAGGCTTTCAAGCTAAAAGGAAGGGACTTCTGGACTGTAAATGTAGATGGATCTTGGAATTGGAAGAAGTTATTAAGACTTCGAGGTAAGATCCCTAACCTATTTAGCTTGAATAAAGGCTTGCTAATCTGGAAAAATATAGATATGCTGAGTTATTCTATAAAGAAGGTCTAGGAAATTATTAGGCCAAAACAATCTGATGTCCATTGGTATAAGCTTCTCTGGAAAGGGATTTCGATTCCCCGAAACATATTTCTTGTCTGGCTCATCATACGTAATAAGATACAAACCAAAGATAAGATGAAGAAATGGGGGTTTGCTGGATCGGATCTCTGTCTCTTATGTGATCAACCTGCTGAGACTCGAGATCATCTGTTCTCTGTCTGTACTTTTTACCTCTCTGCCCATAAGAAACTGTTTGCAAATTATAGCTATTTCTAGCCACAAACTTGGGAGGAGAATCTTGCTTGTGCTATTAGGAAGTTTGGGGTTAAAACGTCTTGTAATATGTCAGGAAGATTGATTTGGCAATCTCTGTTGAGTCATACCTGGAGGGAAAGATGCAGGAGAGCTTTTGCTGAGAATGGTAAGACTGCTGAAGCTCTTGTTTCTCAGTTAAAAAGTGAAGTAATGGTTATGGTTCCAGATCCCTAAGACCTCGAACACTTTTGGTCTACTGATTCTTTGTAACTCTGGTCTCTTACCCGAGATTTTGCTCTACTTTAGGTTTTCTTTGGTAGTTATTGTGAGTATTTCTTTAACTGTTCCTTAGTTCCATTCCTAGCTGACAAGGATGTCGTCAGCAACCCCTTTTCGATGAAATGAAAGTACTCGATTCATAAAAAAATAGAATTGAAAATGAATTCCTCAAAATTTATGGAATTCATTTATATCAAACGGTATGTTAATAAAATTGTTAATCCAAGGAATGTTTAACATTGCTCTAGCAATCCTCTTAGCAATATATTTGGATTCTTCTCTTTTTGATTTGTTTGATTCAATTTCTCAAGTAATCAGTTTTTAATTTTATCTTTCTATTTGAGCCATTGTTACCTTTTATTTTAAATATTAGTTGAAAATAATAATATAATTTTATTTATGTATATTTTATTAGATTTTAAGAAAAAATTTCCAATCTCATCTTAATTATAGAACCGGGCCTCTACAATATCAGGGCCGTCCATGCTCGTGTCTAATTGGTCTATATATTTTGTGTACCCTAACCATGTCGTGCTAGCAAGTAGACAACCCCACCAATACCTAGATACAATTATACTTATAACCGGGAATGGATCAGGTGAGTAACCTTATGGTGAGTAACCATGAGTAACCCGTCCACATAAGCATGACATCAGCATCCTCTCTCTCATGGAAAGCCTTTAATTTTTCCCTCTTTAATCTTTGACGAACGATTTCTCGCTCATTTTAAGTCGAAATTTAATTTTTTTTTGCACAGTTAGATCAGATTAATTGTGCTCTTCAAAATGATATCTATTTTAATATATTTGTCGAACAAAAAAAATTGAGCCATTTTTTACCAGCCTATACCATATGGTATTGACTGGTATTGAAATAAAAGCATACCTATGTTTTGAAAAACGTACCATGGTGGTATGAACAAACCAATACTGTAGGATGGTTGAATACGTGATAGTAGAAGTATATTAATTGTAATTTACGACTTTTAACATTGTATACCACACAATACCACCTGTACCAGGGTGGTATTGTATGGTATTGTGTGGTATTTTTTGGTCCTGTAATTTGTTCACCCAGAAATTTGTAGATCCAATAGATCATGATGAACTCGTCCATTCTGTGCAAACGTTTTCAAAAACGAATTAAGAACGAAGAAGATACCATACAATACCACCCCGTACCAGGGTGGTATTGTATGGTATTGTGTGGTATTTTTTGGTCCTGTAATTTGTTCACCCAGAAATTTGTAGATCCAGTAGATCATGATGAAGTCATCCCTGCTGTGCAAACGTTTTCAAAAACGAATTAAAAACGAAGAAGATACCATATGGTATGCAGTTGGTACCGAGAGGCCAGAATTTTTTTTCCTAAAAAAATATTGAAAATTGATCTCATTTTGTAGAGCACGGTGAACTCGTTCCATCTGTGCAAAAAAAATTAAAATCCGAGTTAAAACGAAAAAGATATGAGTCAATTAAGAAAGCTAGTGAAAATAAAAATAGCCTTTAATTCTCCATCCTTATATCTGAATTTTCTAAATGAAGGGTCCAGATTTGGTTATTGATAGGTGCATAACCCATGGTTATGCACTCTATCTTGAGCCCTTATAACCTTTATATCTAATCACACACGAAAACTAATTTAAAACTGTTGTTTTTTGGTAATACCATTCAAGAAAAACCCGATAACCCAAAAAAGAAGTTTGTTAACAGTTTAACACTGCTATCAGATCTCTCAAGAATGTAGTAATCTTCTCTTCACCATATTATTCCCGAGACTGAAAATTAGATTTATCCTAGACATAATCCATAGTCCCCAGATCCCTTCTTCGTTATACATCTTGCTTGAAGAGTAGATGCAGATTCATTCAGCATGGTGCATTCACTGGGTTAACTGTCATTCTCAAAAGTTAAAAAAGGTAAAAAAAAAAAGTTCATTTATAACCTGCACCATCGATCTTTGACCATAAAGCAAGGTTGTCAACCCGCGGGTCGATCCGGACCCGGTTGACCTAGTGAGTTAAGGATTAATGGGTTGCCCGTTTTAGCTCGGTTTAGTCCAAAAATATAACAAAACCATTATATTGTATTTATTTTGAATTCAACATAAAAAAAATAACTGTATTAAACTCAAACACACTAAAATAACATCAACTTAAATTCAACATAGTAAAAATTCAACGACACTTTGAAACGAGCAGCCGCTGACCCGCTCGGACGGGCCAACCTCCCGGGTTTTTCCAGGTTTGACTATTTTCGAGCTAACTCTCAAATTGGCTATTTTAACCCGTTTTCAAGGCCGGGTCCGGGCCAACTTGGATCAACCCACGGGTTGACAACCTTGCCATAAAGCTAAAAAAGGTTCGTTTATAATCGGGTAAATGACACATTTGGTCACTGAGATTATTAAATTGTGTCATGTTTAGTCACTAGAAAAAATTAATATCAATTTTGGTCACTCAAATTACCGAAACTGGTCAAATTTAGTCACTCTCCCGTCGGTTTCCGTCCAACTCCATTAATGTAGTTGGACGGAAACTTTTGGGAGAGTGACTAAATATGACATGTTTCAGTAATACGAGTGACTAAATGTGACATTTTTCAATAATTCGAGTGACCGGAGTTGGACAGAGGCTACAGAAGAGTGACCAAATGTGACATGTGTCAGTAATTCGAGTGACCAAAATTGATATTAAATTTTTCTAGTGACTAAATATGACACGATTTAGTAATCTCAGTGACCAAATGTGTCATTTACCCGTTTATAATCTGTAGGAACATTACTTTACTTATATAGACACAACAAGATTAATTGGTTCAGTAAAGGGGATCAGCCGCATATCAATTTTTACTGGCTGAATTTTTATTACAATCAGCTAATTAAGTAAGCAGGCTACCTTGTGAATATGATCTCCTATATATTTACCACACATGCATCATATATCTTCAAGTAGCTTCATCTTAATTTCCCAAGAAAAGCAAGCTAAATCATCCACCCTGGGCGACTCATGAGGCCATTCACATTTCCTGAACTGGACGCCACAGCTGAAGGTCTGTCACCTATCTCCATAGGGCCACCACAGCTATCAAATTAAAACAAAAACACGAAAGCTAATGAGAAACGAAGGAAACGGTGATTTCCCGAGTGATCAAAAAGTGGTCATATAATATATACATATAGATATGATCATTGCCTCATCTGCAAAGGGTTGTTTCTGCAATGTGGCTCCGTTGATTCCTGCTGTTGGTGGGGCGGCAAACCAGACTGCTCCCCAGCTTCCCATGCTGAAGATGGTAGCACAGCATCTGTCTCCTGCAACTGTCAAAAACAAACGTTGAAACATCTCAAAAAAAGATACATATATACGAAGCTACACAGATTGGTTAATTGGTGTACCTTAATCCGCAAGGCCCTGTTTGTTTCCTCGAGCATTTCTTCCTGAAATTCGACACATAAAGATGTCTCCTGGTGAATCTCAGGGTGACATAACAAGGTGTAGCAGAAGTAAATAAGCATGGAGATGCTGCTGAGTTCCAAACCTTCATTTTAAGCTCCGAGAGTTGATCTGCAATGGATTGATTCTGCCAAGAGAAACAAACGTTCAACTTTCAGAACTGTAGCTAGATTGTAACAATTAGGTTCTTCATCAAAACCAACTAATGTTCTCAGAACCTTTTACGTGCACTAAGATAAAGAACAGTAACTTGCATGCTATCTCCACGAATAAGCGTATCATGCAAGGAAAGAGCCGCAGAAAGTAATTTTCTATGGCAAAATAACAAAACAACTCCCTATACTGTTTCCTTCTACTTCATTGGATCCTTCAAACTCTTACCTCCTTCAACTTTCATACGCTAATCAATTACAACTTTTGCACATTAACCTGTCCCTCAAGAGCACTTCTACTATGCTATATAGCATTGGTGCTTTAATGTACAACTCAAAGTTGTACCATAACATTAAATGTATAAGTTTAGGTTGTACCATAAAGGAATTTATATCATTATGTTATGGTACAACTTTACAACTTGAAGTTGTACCATCACATAAAGGTACAAGTTCAAGTTGTACCATAAAAGAATTTGTACAAAAAGTATATGTACAATCTAAAGTTGTACCATAACGTAAATGTACAATTTTAAGTTGTACCATAAAGGCAAAAACCTATAGCACCAATACTATATAGCATTGTAAAATTTCTCGTCCCTCAATTATAGAAATAAATGGTCCCTCAGCTTCCGGAGAAGGCCAATTAAGTCCTTTTATCATAAACCTTAATTAGGGTTACACACATAGACATTAGTTATTGGAATCATAATCACATATTGACCTCCTTGTTGAAAACCCGATCAGTATATAGAACTATGTTGCTCTATGTGGATAGACTAATCATTGTTGACCGAGTCAATCAAGAAGTCTAATAATTATCCACTAAATAGTGGCAGAATGTGACTTCTACTAACCTTAAAAGCATAAGTGGAAGTACTTAATTGATGTAATTAGAAGTTGAATGACGACCCTTTTGTCTATATGATAGGAAGAGAGTGAATCTACATTATTAGAAATGCGCATCCACACATTAAACGTTACACTTACAACACATCACCATATAGTATATGCTTTCATTGTTCTTATAGGTAAAGTCGACCTCTAATATTTGAAGTTAGAATGGGTTGCATCTTAAGAATACTACCAACACAATATGTGTAGCCAGGTACGACATAGACTAACAAATTGATGAGGCAAAATGAGTAAATTTTCAAGTGCAGATAAAAAAATATACGTCCGCCCTCGCAACATGCATATAGTCGATTTCTAGCTAACACTAGTACACACCTTTTTCAGTCTAATGAGCTTGAGAGATTCATCAAGGTTATTCTCCAATTGCTCCAGCTCTTTGGTTCCCAAGCTAACCAATTCTTCTCCAAGAATATGCCTATAAAATGTAATATGGCAACAATACACCCACCATTAAGTTCTGGATTACATCTCATATACCAATTCAATTACTCAACTCTCAGCGATCAACTTCATCAGAATTTAAGTATGAAACAATAATAACCATGGAGAGTGAAACTATGATCAATGGAAGCAATGCCATGCATGCTAATTACCTCTGTGAGCGTTGAAGAGACTCCACCGTTGCTTTTAGCTGCAAGTATTCCCGGTAGTGATCCTGCCAAACGTACCGTTTTGCACATAGGAAGAACAATTAGTTACAATTTGACAAACTTAAACCTTTCGTGGAAACCCCTTGCAAACATCATGAACGGGTCCTAAGCATTAGCCACATGGGAGCATAGTGTCAAATACACATATTGTGCAACGTAGATCGTACAGAACCATAGCATTTCAATTTAGTTTAGTATCATTAAGTACTGCATTGAGAAATATCAAGATAACTCCCATCCATTAAAACCCTAACTTCTGCTCTAAATATAACTCTAATCCTCAATCTCAAAAACTAATGATCATATGCATGCTTATAAAAGAACTAATTACCCTCCTTTCACTCTCATCAAATGTTCTAATAACTTGTGTAGTAGTAGAACAAATACCAACGCTGACAGCTGGAGCGAATAAGTAGCGGCGGAGCAGAATTAAATCTGGATGAGGGGTTAAAAAATCTCAACTCTATGGATTTCAACCATAATAATTGAGGAGGAGCTAGCGAAAGTCTCTTAGTAATTTTTTTTATTTTCTAAATTTGTTATATATGTTGCATTTAATTTTTTTCAATATTTCACAATTGAGGTGGTATAACCTCTAGATTTAACCTAGCTCCGCACCAAGATACGAACCGCTCTCAAAACGGGTATCGAACCATAACCTATGGGCTATGGCATGCCACACACAAGCAAGACACCTAGCACGATAACATTTGCTAGGGGTGTCCTTCAGTCATGGTACAGAATAAAGCATAAGCCATTAGCCATGGGTTACCTCACTGTCATTGGAAGGATGGCTTGATTCTAGCTGCCCATAGGTGTACCTTTGGTACTTCTCTATGGTCTTGATTATACTGGGGGGAAAAAACAAAAAACAGTTTCATACAAAATGCAATTTGGAAGTGTGGTAATGAGAAGAAACGCGTAATAGAACTTACAATCAAGCACAACCCTTTTCAGCTAGTGGCAAACATATACGTACACATAGTTGAAATAGATGTTTGCAAGTGATACTGAACATTTACCACTTTGCATAGATCTCTGTAAAATTGTATTGTTTGTACCATTGCAGCAAGCACATCGTTTAAAAAATCCTGATGTTTTCTTTTGTACTACAACAGTTATGGAAGGGAGGTTAAAATGGTCCCTGTACTTGGCTACGTTGCTAGTTCTATTTGCAACCACACAACCATATGAAAAAAGAACTCTAAAGTAAAGAATATATATTCTTATCTCACTGCAAAAATTTCATGTTCTAAGGTGGTCGACTGGTCGGAGTAAGATGTTGTCCTCTATGGCCATTCATAAGAAACAAGAATAAGTTTACACAAGGTCTCAATCAACGATAAAGCTAAGCTACACGTGTTCTCTTTTTGTTTCTCATTTTAAAACAATTATGAAGATATTATGTTTCTTTTATGGGTGCTAATCGTTTCGGTTCTTTAGTAGTTAAACACTAACTAAAAAATACTTATCAACAATCTCTGCAGATCAATCGTCTGTGATTGATTCGATTAGTAATTAGTTTGGCGATTAACCAATAATGACTTCATACGTGACACTTTTTATTTTGTTATTTTAAATTTTTGTGGTGTCTTTCCAGAATCTAATCATACAAATAATTCAAAACAAATTGGTTGTAATTCTTCGGTGTTAGCATAAAATAATAATGATAAGAAATAAGATAAATACAATATATAAATCATCGTGAATTCTTAATGCAAATCATAATTCCAATATATTAAATTAAAAATAATCAAACATCTTACTCCACTTAGCGAGTACCAACTAGCTATACGTTAAACACGAGTAGTACAAGTTCATCATCATTCACAAACACTAAAGAAACATAGACTACTAAGGTGTGTGGTTCACTTCATCGACTACAAAAGGGGAGCAGAAGCGAGGGGGAAACTTTCGAGTTCTAACTCTTTAACACATTTGAGACTTTGGGTGGAAGGTTGTTTGAGAGATAAGTGACAATATGGATGCTGGCATGGAAGTGCTACTTTGATTGATCTTGAATCTTGACACATTTTCTCATAATCAAATCTCAAAATGATGTGGTTATACTAATAGACAGTTATCGATTAATCATTAAGCAAATTTAGTTTACCAATAACCAAACCATTAAGAAATTATTGATTAACCACTAACGTAGTCAACAATTTGGTTATTAACTTTAACCGATAACAGACTAACTATTCACCCATCCTATTTTCCACCACAGTCCAACTCAAGGATCCAAACAATCATAACACAATAGATAAAAAGATAATGTATGTTTTTCCCCCTTGCTTAAAGGAGAATGCTTGCTAGGGAAGTCACGTAGTGGAAACCTCAGTCAGTGACATCAAATTTGAAAACCAAAAAAAAAAAAATTATACATTTAGAATTATGAGCCCAAGACTTTGAACTCAAGATGGACTAAATATTAGACTATTAGTGATCTCTTATTGTCATCAAAATAATCATAGTATATTCTAAACTCAATACAATCCATATAACCAAATCGTTTATATCTGATCCCAATGAGCACCAAGTTAACTTGGCTTTCCTTGAAACCATAAAACCATGCTAGAAAATCCAATAAACAAAAGATTTAGTAACCCATTTTCTGATCTTCAAAAAAAAAAAATTCATCATCTCTTAAACATAAAAGTTCTTTTGAAACTCCAATATAAAATGACCATTATCCTAAACATCGGCAACCCAACCCTCCAACCTCTATACTATCTTCCTGCAGGCAGCTAAAATCCCAGGAAAAAAACTGGAGAAGAAATCACAACCATGGTCTCCACTCTCGCACTCAAACACACAGCAAAACCCGAGATCCGAACATCACAATTGCAGATCTCATGAAGCAAATCAACAGTACAAAATCTTGGACACACATCTTGCTAGAAGAGTAGCAGCAGATTCATTCAATCCATACACACACACACAAAAAAAACGCAGAAACCCACCACATAAGATGTTAATTTCAGAAACAACAAAAAAAAGTTTTAGAGAGAGAAAGGTAAGGGAAATAAATTAATGTGTACGGGAAGAAGGCAGTGAAATATTGATTAATTAACCTGGAGGAGCTGCAGAACTCATAGAGCTTTCCGCGGTTGGAGAAGAGGATGAGGGCAACCTCAGCGTCGCAAAGAACTGAGAGCTCATAGGCTTTCTTCAGCAGCCCATTCCTTCGCTTGGCAAACGTGACTTGCCGGTTTATCTTGTTCTCTATCCTCTTCAGCTCCACCCTCCCTCTCCCCATTTCCCCTTGAATCAGAGAGTACCCTTTTCTTTTTCAGTCTTCTCTCTTTCTCTTCCTTTGGCCGCAAAGGGTAAGGTGCCTGCTGCTGCTGCGCAATTTACTGTGTGAGTGTAGCAGAAAGAAGAGAAAGAGAAATTGGTGTCGGAACCTATTTAATCGTGAAGTAGGTGCACGTGTCGAGTTTGTATGAGGAGAGAGAGAGAGAGAGAGGGAGCACTAGCGGAATTTGCTTCACGCTCCACAATATTTGGTCCCTCACTAGTCACTAGTAACTCCATCCCGTACGAACTTTTAGAAAACATAGGTTACAATTTGGTCCCTCAGGTCCTAAGAACTCAGTGCTTGAGTCCTTATATTTTCTTTTTCTTATAAATTACGCCCTCCTATTGGAAAATGATAGATAAGAGGAGCACTATATATAATGTGTATAATGGTTCGGGTTTTTCTATTTACACCACTAATTAATCGGATTTTGGGATATGATATTATATCTTAATTTTTATTGGACGAATCTCATTATTTAAGTCTCTAACCCAAAACATGAAAATCTTTAAACTACAAATAATAATCAATGGTTCTAATTCGTTGAAATACATCAAAGTAGAAATAACAGTTGTGAATGAAGATGTATATCATAATCTAGGGGTAGCACTAGCCTTTGTCAATATATATATGGTTGTCTTCATTGCACTCAAATTTTTTTGGAGCATTCATTGCACTCGTCTCGTAATCATAATTCTGAGCAGGTGATTCATGTCAAAATAATGTCAATCGTCACTTGTGATATGGTGATCAAGAAAATGCATGAATTTGCACAAAAATCATTCAAGATATATTTGATTTGAAGCTTTTAGAGTTTAGCTGTTTAAGATTAGGGTTCAGGAATTATAATTTGAGGTTCAAGGTTAGTGTTCAAAATTGAATTTTTAAAGTTTAGTATAATGGATTAATTAGTTTGAACATATATTATTTTATTATATCAGACTGATAGTATCAATTAAAATCTTAAATATGATATTTTAACACTATTTCTAATGTTAAGTATGCACTTATGTTTGCGAATACACCGGAAAAGCCATATGGTTTGTTTTCTTTCGGTTATAGCTACTAGTTGGTAGGGGTGGTTATTTAGTCCGGGTGTTTTGGATTTACGCGAAATCAGATCGTATAATCTGGACCAAGATCGGACCGGGACCAGGACCGGATAGCAAACAATCCAATGAGCTCATATAGTATTGATTAAAATATTAAATCTGATATTTAAGACTATTTTTAATGTTAAGTACATTATATGAATACACCAGAAAAGCCATATGGTTTGTTTACCTTCGGTTCTAGCTAGTTGGCCAGGGAGACTAGTGCAGCTTACTTTCCTACTTCTGGGGGGGGGGGGGGGGGGGGGGGGGGGGCCTAGACAAGGGCATCGATCCTTTGTCCTCCCATTTATTTATTTATGCTACTTTAAACTCAATATTGCAGAGAAAGAGTTTGTTGTTTGATCCGTGAAATGGACATGAGGAGAGAGCTTTTTGCGTGTAGCTTATATTTGGGTGTGTAGTTGGGATGCTTTCCTACAACATACTTGGGCATTCCCTTAAGAAGCAGAGTAACCTATCATTAGGATGTCAATCCAACCCGTAACTATGGGTACCCTATCCGACCGTACCCGGTAAACGAAGGTAATTACCCGCTTTGACGGGTTAAGGGGCGGGTACGGGTAATACCCGGTTTCAAAATAAAGGGTAGGGTACGGGTATGGTAATCGATAATACCCGCTCCATTATACCCGCCCCGCTAACCAAAGGGTCAATTTCCCTTGAGAAATTTAGTTTAGCTTGAGAAATTGAGTTTAGCTACCATTATTGATGATGAAGATGTAGACGATTATTATGTTTGTGTGGATTGTAGAACAATTATTATGTGTTTGCTGATTTTATTTGTGTGGATTGTTGAATCTAGAACAGTTACAAGTATTGAGATTTTTTAATGGACAACAGTATGTATGTGCATATATGTGTATAAGTTCATAGTTTAGGATTCGTACCCATGGTTATCCGAATACCCATGGTTACCCGGTGGGTAGGGTATGGTTATATAATTTTCATACCCGGTGGTTATTTGGTCGGGTATTTTAGAAGGCTCTACCCGATGGGTTAGGAGTTGGTATAGGGTAAACCCGCACCCGACCCTACCCATAGCCATCCCTACCTACCACACATGTACAACAAGAGGCTAAGGTATTTGCACCATTTGGTCCAAAAAATGCATGTAAATTTTTTAGGTTAAATTGCAAGTTTGGTCACTTGAATTACTAGTAAAGTTCACGTTAGCCACTAGAAGTACTTTATTTCATCCGTAGTCACTTAAATTAGGTTAACAGTCCAAGTTTGGTCACATGCCGTTAGTCTCCGTTAACTTTCGCGGATGTGGCGGTCAACTCTAATAGTTGACCGTTAAATGAGCGACGTGGCAATTTAAGAAAAATAAAAAAATAGTATTTAACTATTTTTATTTTCCATCTCATTATTAAAATTATTAAAAAATAAAACCTAATTACCTCCATCCCTATCTACTAAAGTGGAAGAGGAGGGAGAAGAAGAGGGAGATTGCGACGGAGACGAAGACGGGATCTTGGGGTGGCCGTCGATTAATTTCCGTCGACCGACGAGGAAGAGGGGGTTTTCTATAATCCCTATACACCCAAACCTAACCTAGTCGTTTGCCACCACCTCCACCTCATTTATCTAGTTCTTTTCTTATTGAAGGGGTGACTTGATAATAGTGTGTTCTGAATTCACAAATAAATTGTTCTAAGAAGCACATGTTCCAGATTCTAAGATTAGTTAAATGCCAAATAGCTTGTTGACTTATGGTTGTGTTTGGTTTATTTTCTCTAGGATGTCGTCCTAAGAATTAATGGGTTATTGCATTTAAAATTTTTTCAAATGTATTTGTAGCATCTGATGTTCCATATAACATTATCTTAGTAGGAATATCCATGTTGTTAAGATAATGATAAACTGCCCCAGTTGTTTTATATATTAAGAAATTAAACATTTCGTTAGGATGTAATTTCTTTAGATCTTCATTAGTTTGTATTAATAATCTTGTTCGATTTTTCAAGTCTTCTAATTCTTTTAATTGGTTGATGCAACAATCAAGATCTAATATATCAGGACTGTTAAAACTAGTGGTGGAATATTTTGGTATGTAAGATTGAGGTATTTTACTCCATCCTTCCCCTTTGCGAGGTGTATATGAGTATTTATAAAAGTATTCATTAAAAAATAGTTGATCATCTTTATAGTCATTAAAATCACGCTTTCGTGATGTTTCAAGTTGATCCTCAGTTTCAGTTTTTCTGTAATTTGCATTTGTGTAATTTTTATAGGGGTTTTCGTCGCTACTATAGTCAAGAACTATTTTATCATTTTCTATATTTTCTTCTATCTCTGGTTCCTATTCAATAGTAATTGCGGCTAGTAAATCATTTAATTTATTAATTTGTTCTCAATACTAGTCATAGAAGTTTGTAGGGTGCCATGATAGTTAATGGGCTAGATTTTCCTGATTTATACTCATTCAAGTATTCTTTCATATCTTCAATTGTAATGCTCCTTTTATTATCTAATTTAATTATTATTTTTTGAAGTTTAATAATGATTTCCTTAAGATCTTCTACCGGTAATACTATTTCTTTAGAATTTGGAGTTGTTTTTCCCATTGCTACTTCTCTTTGTTTTATATCCACTATTATGTTGGTAATTGTATCCTTAGCAAGTTCTAATTCTGAATATATATCTTTTTATTTTTCATTACATTGATATTCTAATATTGATCTTAATTGTTTATTATTGTCTTCTATTATATTTATTAGATTTTCTTGATATTCATCTATTTTTTCCCCTAATTTTTCTAGTTTTATCGAAATATTTTCAGTAGCCATAATTTTGTGACTATAAAGTGGATACTAGTTCATACATTTTGGATATTAGTTAGTATCTGCTAACAAAAGCTTGTTAGCATTTTAACTTTTTCGCCCGTATCCAACCCCTATTGAGTGCCAAATGAATAAATCTTATAACATTACTGGGAAGATATTTGACAAGTCGAATTGAGGGGAAAATTGAACAATGATAGTTTGTGAGTGGAAGAAACTACTCCTAAGAGCAATGAAGGATAAAGATGAAAGAGTGTACACGAACCCTTTTGTTTTGTGAACGATCGAGGGCCTATTTTGTTATATCTAAGTTAAGGATAGAGATGAAAGAGTGTACATGAACCCTTATGTTTTGTGAACGATCGAGGACCTAAAGTTGTTGGTTAAAACGAGTTTTGTTTTCGATGTGCTTACCTTGTGTGTGTATTCAATACTTGTGTCTCGTAATCTACGTTATGAGTAGATAGTTCATGTCAGAATGATGTCAATCGTCGCTTGTGATATGAAGAGTAAGAAAATAAATGAATTCACACAAAAATCATTCAAAATTTGCTTTGATTATACGATTTTAGAGGTTAGGTATTTAAGGTTAGGGTTTAGGATTTATAATTTGGGATTTTGGATCAGTGTTCAAAATTGAACATTTAGGAGTGAGGATAATGGATTTATTAGTTGCGATCCTATGTTACATCATCAAATCAGAATAATAATGCTACCAATCAAAATATAAAATTTGTTGTCTTAAGGCCACTTTTAGAGTTGAGTGCATTGTATAAACTCATTTTTGTGAGTGCACCGAAGAAGCCACCTATATATATATATATATATATATGAATGGTTTTATTGTATCTCAAGGAAAATAAAAGGTATGGCATAACTTGAGTAAGAAAATTATATCTAGACCTTGAATTGATCGAAGTTTAGGACATGATATACCTTACATAGTGATTGCAATGGGATGGGGCGGGGTGGGTACCTTAACAACCATGCCCGCCCCATGCTACAACGGGTCGGGGTGGGTAATAACAACGCGGGTATGGGGAGGGGCGGGTCAACCCACTATTACATATTATTTGAAAATAATACACACAAAATTTTACTTTTTATGATAAACTTAAGGCAAAGACACTTTATGAATGAAAATAGTCAAATACTGATAATACAATGGGTAATTGAGTCTAACTAATTGAAAGAT